AGGGGAAACTCTCATTCCTTCTTTCATCTCACACAGAACTTGGGAGAGTCACTTCTTGCTGGAATGGGAGGTTCTTGTTGGGAGGGGACCAGGGGTAGGTTTTAGCTGAGAAGCTTCATCTGCTATTGCTTACTGCCTCCTGGTGGCAGGTGGGGAAACAGCGAGGGGTTGGAGCACAGCCCTCCAGGAAGGTGGGATCGAATGCCTAGGATTCCAGTCATCAGAAAAACCAGAGTCAAGAGGAGAAAATGACCAAATGCAGAGCTGCACAAAACAGCCTACTGCCTGAGCAGGAACCAAAAATGGACCAAGGTCCCTGGGAGAAGGAGAGCAGGAGTGGGCAGGGAAGACCCAAGGACAGACCAGGTGGGAAGTATTGAGAGATCAGATGAGGAGGGTCACAGGTCCTACAGGCCAGCTAGTTGTCTAGCAGATTGGAAGCAGAGTTCTAGCACTTTCACTCGGTGTGATGAGAGACTGCAAGATCCTGACACTATATTTTGGGAAAAGATAGCTGTGGCATCTATAGCATGCCGGCCAGTGATGCCATAGAAGCCTTTGGACAGAGCAGTGAAGAGAGATGCCAAAAGACATAGAAGGCTTGCTGTGCTCTCTATCCCTAAGGTAGCAGCAACAAATGGATGAAAACTACGTAAGATTCTCAGCCATTGCTTTATACTCACTAAGTCCCACTGGTCCCCTTTGGGACCTGTCCTACAGCTTCACTCTACCCTCTCCATCCCTCATCACCCCTGATCTCGGCCGGCATCAATCTACATTTGGATTTATCCATAGGGTCTCCAAAATGGTCTTAGTCCAAACAGCCCCCAAATGTAAGGAAATGTACTCAATTTCACTCAAAATAAGAGAAAACAAATTAAAACTATGCTGAGATACCATTTCTCACTTGTCATATTGGTGAAAATTCAAAAGCTTCACCAATACTCTGTTGATGAGGCTGTGAAGGAAGGGCCTCATCCCATTGTTATTGAGAATGCAAAGTAGCACAGCTCTGTGGAAGGGAACTTGGCAATATTCACTAATTCCTGATCTAGCAACACCACCCACAGCTATTTACCCTGAAAATACATCTCCAACAACATGAGAAACCATAACCATGAGATCATTAATTGAGGAATTATTTGGGATATCAAAATATTGGAAACAATCTAAATGTCCACCCATAGTAGAACGGATGATAAACTATGATACATATTAACAATGGAGAAGCATGCAGCTGTAAAAAAAATTGTGAGGAAGACATGGGAACATATGGAGTGATTACAGGATATATATTTTTTTAAAGATTTTGTTTATTTATTTTTTAGAGAGAGAGAGCGTGCACGCAAGCAGGGGGAGAAGCAGAGGGGGAAAGAGAGAGAAAATCTTAAGCAGACTCCACACCCAGCAAGGAGCCCGACTCAGGGCTCGATCTCACAATTCTGAGATCATGATATGAGCCAAAATCAAGAGTTGGATGCTTAACCAACTGAGCCACCAAGGTGTCCCACAGGATACATTTTTAATTGGAAAAGACAAGACACAAAATTATATATATAGTATGGCAACTTTATGTAAGAAAAAGAAAGGTAAAAATATATATGTATTTATGTTTTAGCAAAAAGAAACAGGGAAGGGGCACCTGGGTGGCTCAATCAGTTGAGCATCTGACTCTTGGTTTCAGCTCAGGTCATGACCTCAGTGTCGTGGGATTAAGTCCTGCGTCGGGCTCTGTGCTCTGCGGGCAGTCTGCTTGAAGATTCTCTCTCTCCCTCTACCTCTTTCTCTCTCCCACCCCCGCTCATGTGCATGCTCTCTCTCTCTCTGTAAATTTTTAAAAATTAAAAAAAAAAAAACAGGGACGATAACCCAGAAACTAATACATTTGGTTGCCCATAAAGGAAGAGGGAAATGGGCTGGAAGGATGTGAGAATACCTTGTTATCTAGTCGTGATTTTCAAGCCATGTCCATCGTGTTTAAGACAATCAACAGAGATGGACAAAAATTAAATGTAATATGAATAGAAATAAAGGAATGCACCTATCCATCAATTGATAGCATAACGACACAGAAAAAACAATCTGAGTGACTTTTGAATATAGTACTCTGTACAACCTCAGTGGGATATATTCTAGGGATGAAAAGAACTGCAAAGAAATCTTGACCTCCACTTAATATATTTGTTGTTGGTAGTGGTATCAGTAGAGTGATTCAGAGCAAATGAGTAAATATTGAACTTACTGAGAACCAGAGCTCTTACCATGGGAGAAAGGAGATATCAATATCGAAATGAGGGATGACAAGGAAGAGACATGACATATACCTTTCGAATTGGAGCTATTAGTATTAGCTCATGACATTTTAAAAAGTACTTATTTCCTAGCTCTAGCCATTGAGAGGGGCTATAATCACACACACACACACACACACACACACACACAGAGAGAGAGACAGAGAGACAGAGAGAGAGAAATAGATGCAGTTACATATGGATAGAACTGTAGATCTATAAATAGACAAAGATAAAAATACAGAGGGAGAAAAGGCAAAAGGTACAAGATGTTAACAACTGATGACTCTGGGTGAAGGGTATATGGTGTTCCCTGTACATTTTGGAGGGTTTATAATAGTTCAAAATAAAGAGTCAAGGGGAAAAAAATAGTTTGTCTCAACACTGCCTCCCATCTGGGTTACATTTTAGTTGTACTTCTCTGCGCCTTTTCTAGTTCTGGTTTATCTTTCTTGAGAGCTGATGACCAAAACTGCTTTGGTCATACAGGATGAGATGAGTTCAACCCTGCTTTTCGCACTCCCCAGCAGAATCGTATAGTACCCAACAGGATCCAATTCTCCAGGAACCAGCTGTCATGACTCCTTGGGCTCTTGCCAAGGATGAAATCAAAGTTCAGCGCCCTCATATGTGAGCTGCTTCAATTACTAATGTATAACTGCTTTAAAACATTGGCCATTTTTCTGCCCACCCACATGGACTCATGAGCTGTTTCTATAGACCATCCCCATTAATTAGATTCTTCATAATCCAGAAGAATTTAGTATCGCTGGCACATTCAATGAGTAGTCCCTGAGCATCTGGCACCATGTAGCACTGGAGATACAGTAGCAGGAAAAAAAAGACATAAGTTTCAGACACGATGGTGCTTATGTTTAATTGGTAGAAAGATGACAGCAAATAAGTAAGTAAATACAGAGTATGCCAGTTGGTGATACAATCTAAAGAAAGGAGCAAGCAAGAAGGATGGAGTCTGGGGTGAGGGCTGGGGAGTGGTCTGCTATTTTTAAATAGGGCAGTGAGGGAAGACATCATTGAAAAGGTAATGTTCAAATAAAGACCAGAAAAGGTGGTATCTGGTCTTTACAATGATATCTGGGGGAGGGGGGGATGTTCCGGGAGGTGCAAGTATCCCATGGGGGAGCCATCTGGCCTGAGTAACAGGAAGCTCATGGGAGCTGCAGCTGGGCAGTGAGTGAGGGCGAGGGCAGAGGAGACCAGGCCAAGAGGTGGGGGCAGGTGGTCTTTGTGGCCCTTGCAGTTCACCTGTAGGTCACTGTCTGCCTTTGACCTTGACTTGGAGTGAGATGGGAGACTTAGGAGGCTTCCAGAGGAGTGACATGGTCTACCTCAGATTTTTAGAGTTTCAGCTAAAGCAAAACTATTTCTCTGTGTTCTTTCTTTGAGATAATGTTTGAGTTGATTCCAAATGGATCCCTGAGGAATCTTTTTATTTCTTCACTTCTTTCCTGTCTCCAGCTAACTTACAATGGCCTCTTCATATAACCACCAGAGCCATCATGGTTCCATCATGGGGTCTGAAAAGAGCATTAGCCATTCGTGGCTGTTCTGGGTCATGCCCATGTCTTTGAAGATGAAGAGCAACATGGGAGAGATCAGAGGATTTGGACAAGTTAGAATCAGTATGGGTGACCAAGAGGCCAGGAGGCCAAGCCTCACACGAGGGGTGAAGTGCATGTAGGTTCAGGGAGAGAGAGACAATGCAGGGGGAGCTCTCTGGGACTCCATGGATGCTGGGCAAGGGCAGAGAAGCAGAAGGTGAGAAATGTCCCTGCCCCTTGGCAGAGTTGTTAAAATTGCAGCAGCAGATGAGTGACTAGGAGAGAGGAACATCCCATTCCTTCTCAATAGGTTGTCACAGCTTAGAATCTGCCAGAGGTATCTTGGTCTCTTCCATCCCCCGAAGCCACTCTTCTAGACATGAACTCCCTGGTCTTTCCTCGATGGGCCAGAGGCAATGACCATCCACAGGAGAATCTCAGCTGGGGCTCCTTGGTACCCTCTCTGTGGAACTGGATAGCCTTGTTTTCAGGTTCCTTCATTCAAAGGATGGGTCTGAGAAGGGACTTGGGATTTGGATGTATTTCTTGTCTCTTCACTTACCATCTCTTAGCTCAGTGACCAGAGCAGGGGCCTCACGTTGAGCTGAAAGAGCCTTTCCTCCAGGCTCTATGCCCACCATGGGCACCATGTCTCTGTTAGAGACAGAAGGAAGCAACTGAGCAAGTAAGGGCACAGGGGCCACAGGAGAGAGGATCAAGCAGAAACACAATTCCTCATCCTCTTCTCTCTATCCTCCTGGCCCTTTTAGACTCTGTTTATGACCATTATTTTTAATGGATTTTTTTTTTAAGGTAAGAGGCAAGGAGCTGGGAGACTACTGTCTTATCAGTAGAAAGCATCAATACCAATAACATCAGCTGGTTTTACAACATGACAGACGAGAAATAATCAATGCATAAATTAGAGCTTAAACATTGTCATAAACTCTGGAGCATCAGGATTTAGTGAGGGGAGAGATGGCCAAGTTACGACAAAGTTGTAATTGGGAGACAGGAAGTGACATTATTTTTCACGGCAAAATAAAAAGAAGGGAAAGGAAAGAAATTAAGAGAAAATGAAATGCACAGCCTTTGCCAGGCTGAGTTACAGATGATCCCTTAAAATTAAAAAATGCCAGGAACTTACGTGATATCAGCATTAGGGTGTAGCCCAAAGACTTCGGGGTTATCTAGGGAGGGCAGTGACTGGATGTACTCAAAATACTGATCCAGGGTTTTGCACAAGGGGATTTTATATCCAGTATAAAAACAGAACGATGGTTCAAACATCTTCTCACTGAACCAGACCTATGCAGGAGAGAAAAAAGAAGAAATAAAAGGGATGAACATCTAAATGAAAACTATAAGGAAGGAAGGGTCACCTTATTTCCATTTTAGTAGATTTTTATATTGAGTTTGAAAGGACCTTAAGAAAACCACGGATAGAAATAATTAGCACAAATACAAAGAAAAAAGAAAGGCCACATGACACAAAAACGGTGAAGCTGAGCCTCTCTTGAACACCAAAGAAGACGCTTGCTAACAGTGACAAGAGAGCCAGCCTTGCAAGCACACTCTCTTTGCTCCAGTAAACTCACGACCCTCCATCCCACTTTTGAAGACGAATGAGAACACACTGCAGAGGGGAGGCCATAACCATACACAGGAGAGAGGATCTGGGCATTTCCATGGCCTCCCTTTGCCCCCAAAACAGGGTTCACGCCGGGGAATGTGCTGTGCTCAGGGTGGCTCACAGCAGCACCCTGCACCACTCAAGGCCAGGAAAACTTAACAATTGTCTCCCCTCCCACCCCAAGCTGGAGAGCTCCCTCTGTTAATTAAGTTATGTCCCTGGCCACAAGAAGCAAATGTATCCAACTGTCTTATTGTTTGCCTGAAGACATCCTTTTCTCATTCCATATGAATTGATTATCTGTAATGTAAAAGCAAGGGAACAAATACACACTTGGTGTGAATAGACTTATTCTGAGGAGGAAAAAAAAAAAGGAATGCTGAATGCCTATGAGCCAGATTTGAGGCAATGACTTCAGTGTCTAACAGAGCAATTTTCTCAGCAGGAAGGGAAATAACAGGAAGACAGGAGGAACAGAAGCTCAGGCAGGATGTCTGAATCCCTCGGAGGACTCAATGTGAAAAGAGATGGAGACTGTGCTTTACTTCAGTGGGTTACACTTTCTCTAGCATCTTCCTTCCATATCCTTTTCCCAGCTCTTTTTAGGTCCAGTGATCACTCTGAAATGTCCTGTGTGCTGGTTTTCTCTTCTAGACCCCCCTCCCTCTGCCACCGCCCCCCCCCCAGTTCTAGCCTAGTTAACTCCTGTGCACAAGGCACGGAGCTGAGAACTGAAATAGAAGGCAAGGGTGAGTCACACACCATTCTTTCCTCTAAGGAGCTTGTGACCCACTGGAGGGATAAGTCAATTACATAATAAACCATAGTGCAAAGTCCACTAAGGTAAGAGCCAAAGGAAATAAAAATAAGCAAAACACAAGGAGGCTTAAAGCAGGAAGAGGGAATAGCCAGCGGGATGTCAGGTAAGGCTTTAATCTGGGAAGTGATCTTAGAGATAAGCCTTGAGGGATGGGATTTCGACAGGGGAACTCCCCAGTGACTGGGGAGACCACACCAGCAAAGGCACAGAGGAACTGATGCAAAAATGTGAGGCAGGGTGAGGAGATGGTGAAATCTAGGATAAATAGGTCCAGGTGATGACTGGCATTGATTTAAGAAATGAGAAACAGTTCAAAGTTATTAAAGAGAACAGTGCTATGATCATGGTCATTAATTAGAAAGGTTATGGTTTTAGTGATGTGGATAACCAGGGAGGAGAAGGCCACAACACTGACCACACTGAGTTCTCCAGTACCAATGACATAAATCTATAAAAGCAACATGAAGTTTCTTCCTGTTTTTCTATCACTTTATTAATATACCCACAAAGAGCTGGAGTCACAAACACACACACAGCTGAGTATCAGCAAATTTGGAGGACATTTTGGGGGACAGTCAACATAAGGAATAAGAAATCAACATGGAAGGACTTCGGGAAACTCTAGAAGGTACCTTACAAAGATAAGCAGTCATCCTCCAAGGACAATAAATAAAGTTCTACAATTGTTGGTTTGAGAGGAGACACACCGTAAGATGTTGAGAACAGAGAAAACAAACAGGGGTTCAAAGATAAGCCCCAAGGATATAAAATCAATGCAAAGAAATTAGTTGCATTTCTATACACCAACAAGACAGAAGAAACAGAAATAAAGGAGTCGATCCCATTTGCAATTGCACCCAAGACCATAAGATACCTAGGAATAAGTCTAACCAAAGAGGCAAAGAATTCGTACTCAAAAAACTATAGAATATTCATGAAAGAAATTGAGGAAGGCACAAAAAAATGGAAAAACGTTCCATGCTCATGGATTGGAAGAACAAATATTGTGAAAATCTCTATGCTACCTAGAGCAATCTACACATTTAATGCAATCCCTATCAAAATACCATCAACTTTTTTCAAAGAAATGGAGCAAATAATCCAAAAATTTATATGGAACCAGAAAAGACCCCGAATAGCCAGAGGAATGTTGAAAAGAAAACCAAAGCTGGTGGCATCACAATGCCGGACTTCAAGCTTTATTACAAAGCTATAATCATCAAGACAGTATGGTACTGGCACAAAAACAGACACATAGATCAACGGAACAGAATAGAGAGCTCAGAAATGAACCCTCAACTCTATGGTCAACTAATCTTCGACAAAGCAGGAAACAATGTCCAATGGAAAAAAGACAGTCTCTTCAACAAATGGTGTTGGGAAAATTGGACAGCCACATGCAG